AGTTCGGTAAAATTGGTGCGTTTTCGTTTCTACTCATAACCTGTTGTAAATCAATAGCACTATTTTTATGGAACCGTTTCATACCTCTTTTGTACAAGTACGAGTTTAATCTGAGTAAAATTACACCTAGAATTAACGCAGGAATTTTGGCCCACTACTACTGTAACTTCAGCAGACTAGTTCTAAGCCGCCAGAGCACCCTTAAGCATCCCAATGACCTGGATCGCTAAGTAATTGTATCATCTTGGTCTGGGCGCTTAGTCTGGTGGTCTTAAGTTGTTTTTTGATAGAGTTCTGGCCTATTTTCTAACCAGCAGGCGGTCTTGTAAACCGGCCAATTTTGGCCATACCGGCTGTTAATGGTGAATCGCCTCCCCCAAGGCCCTTAATCATGTAACAATGACACACAGCACTCTTCTTAACACTATGACCGAGCATATCCCCAAAGGAGATCTCATTTGAGCCGATTCTTCACCACTTTTAATGGCCTCACAAAACACTGTTTTGATCATCTTCAAAGCAACCAAAAATTAAGCAACCGACCAAAAATTAAGCAACCGACCGAAATATTACCCCCCTCCTCGGTACGTAGTGTATGTAGAATTAGTACCGCGGTACTAAATCTACGTACATATTGTACATATGTAGAATTAGTACAGCGGTACTAATTCTACGTACGACGTACGCGAAAAAGAGGATTCAGCCACTTTGAGCTATTATACTGTACTAATTCTTTTTTTCCTATTGCACATATTCATCCTACTATGTCTATTATGCATTTTAAAGCAAAAATCATGGCTCCTGCTCATAGCAAAATTGTTAGTACTAAGCGTACTACCCGTTTGAGTACAAAAAAGAAGATTGCTTCACGTACTAGTACTACTACTAGTAGTACCTCCACCGTGATTCCACGTCTCTCACCTGATGAGGAACTCAAATGCAAGGTGGAATTAGCTGCGGATCTCATTGTTAGTTTTTGTGTCCTTACTGTTGCACAAGCTACTATGAAGGCTGTTGATTTTGAAAAGTTTGAAGCTCATAAAGCCTCAATGCAAATGAGGAGGGTCCGAAGACTTGTAACCAAAATGAGAGAGGAAAAGGCTGAACAAGCTGAGGCCAAAGAAGTTCCTCCTTGCACTCCCTCTGTTGGAAAGCGCAACCTTCTTGCCACCAGTGAAGTTACTACACCCTGTGAAACACGTGCAGTTTTGAAAGTTACACCTGGTGGTGCAACTCCCATGACTGGTGGTACTGCTTCTGGTGGTAGTGGTACTACTAGTACTACTCCTGAAAACAGTGATTCTTCTCCCCACAGTGATGGTGGTTCAAATGGTAATGATCCAATCAGCAAGAAGAAATCCAAGTTGAAAGGCCTTGAGGACACCAGAGATAGTGCCCGAGCTGCTCAAGTTGAACGTGTCAACAAGAAAATTAGGCTTGAAAATATAGCCCGCGCCCACATTAAAGCAACCACCCTCTATCAGGAAGCAAAAAATGATCCCGAAGGAAAGGGAAGAAGTGCAGCTTCCATCATCAAAGCTGTAAATTCTGAATATGGTACTGTCCTTAACCACCAAACAGTGTTGAGGTATGTTAGGGAGGGCAATTCTGGCATTGCACCTGCCAGAAAGGGACCTCAGCCAGGAAATATCTCTCCCGAAACAATGGATTTGGTTGTCACTGCATTTGAGACATTTGTTCAGCTCTGCCAAGCAAATGGAGATGCCCCAGGGACTGATCGTGCACCTCTTATCCGTCAACTCAATGCCACAATTGGGTTGCCACCATCATCAGTGCAGTCCAGTTTTTATTACTCTGTAGTAAATAGGACCACCATAAATCTGAAGGCACATGTGTTGAACCGAGTTGAAGAGAGAAGAGCCCGTTGGACAACAAGAACAAACTTGAAACTGTGGTTCCAAAATTGGAAAACTGACCTGGTTGAACTTGGATTTGCATCAAAAGGTGGAGAATATGGAATTCAGATTGCAGAAGAACAGACACAAAGAATTATAAACCTTGATGAATCCTGTTTATCCTTGGATGGATCCAATGGGCGGAGGGGAGGACGACCTTCAGTCAGTTTAATAGATCCAAATATTCCTTCAATTGGTCGTCGTGTCACCAAGTCTTCTGTTACCATAACTTTCATTGCTGGTAGCAATGCGTATGGTGAACCCCTCCCACCTCACTTTCAATTTGGAACCAGAGCCAAAACTGAAGAACGAATGAAACTGAAGATGGAAACAATAGCATATTGTAAAAAGGTTAGAGCTTCATATGGATTCCATGATTGGTCAGGTGAAGACAACTGTTCAACATTTCCTGTGACAGTGGGTATGAATGACAAAGGCGGAATGG